TGTTAACAACACTTTTTGGTGTAAACGATGAAGTGTATCACGACATTGAAACGTTGGATCAAAATCAAAAATTATTGATCCAAAATACTAAATCAAATGCTAGAATCATGATATCCACAATAGCGGCAGTAAACAACACAGAAACTAAAATCATCAACAAAATCAACAGCTTTAGTAAAAGACTAAACGAAGGATTGCAGGCTATCAGTCAGATGCAAGGTTGGCATGATATCGGAGAAGGAAATAAACTGAATATATATGTACTTAATTCATATATAATGGCTTCCAATTACATTCGAGAAGTAGAATCAAAATATAATAAGATCTTCAATGTATATTTAAAACGCAGTCATATTTATGAATTCCTTTCACATGATGAAATTAATGATATTATAAATCGATGTTCCTCAAAAATTGGACCAGAAATGTATGTCTTACCAATTCCGATGAACAGATTGGAATATGTTCGAGATACTGACAACGTTATAATTTATGGTTATTTCACAATCAGCGATATAGAAGAATATGAAATCATTAGATTCAACACGATTCCAGAAAGAATTAATGATAATATATATCAAGAAATCGAATTGTTAACATCCACATTTGGCATCAATTATAGCAGTTAAAATATTTTGACGTTACTATCAGCCAAATGGAGACTGCAACCAAGCTGAATAATGGTACTAGGTTACTTCATCCAACAATATTTTACAACATTGACGAGAGTTCCAATTGTGTAATTAAGCAATTGTATAATAAATTAACATTCGATAACTGTCCGTCAAAAAGATTTCAAGTTATACAACCAGTTTGGAAAGAGCTTTGGACGCCCAATGCTTGGATATTCATTACACCAAATTTAACGACAATTCATGTAATTTGTCATATTGAACGTGAAGAAATAGTTCTGAATTATACGGGAATCATTCATATCTCTCCAGATTGTGTAATACATTCTAAGACTATTCAACTGGAAGGAAGAATGATGAAAGAATTTCAATCAATCACACACCACGTTAAACCAATCAGCATGCAAAACATTTCAATACCTGACAGTAGAATGCATAAAATTACAAATGAAACCGTTATCCCATTGGTGCAAGATTTATCAACTATGCTTTTGTACTCCGCAAGGGATGCTCAAGACAACATGGACCAAGTCAACGAAATATCTTGGAAAACAATAATGACTCATCAATATTGGAAGAAATGGGTCATCGGGGCTACAGCTATAATAATAATCATATTCGTTGGAGTATTATATTACATGTGTTACATTAAACCGAGAATACCATCAACATCAGCCAATAATCATACATCACCGTCCACTTACGATGTCGCTTGGTCTTGCACATAAACAACAACCTGCTGAGGCTAACAAATCTAGACCAACTTGTAATACCAACGCAGAGCCGGCATAATGTTGACGAATCAACAAAAAATTAAGAACTAGGTCATGAGTTAATCGCTCACACCTGTTGCTTAATTTCTTGGTTGACGAATCAACAAAAAGTAAAAATTAGGTCATAAGTAAAGCATTCGCAACTATTGCTTATTAAGCAATTTGTGCGAATTAAGCAATAAGTTATTTTATTTATTGTATGTTTTGCAATTACGGTTGCATTTTATTTTGTATAAAAGAACAAATCAATTTAAATAAAATCAGTTGTTGAAAGTAAATCAACGTCTCACCAATCTTTTATTGTTTCCCCCCACCAGTGGTAAGGGACATAAAGATTGTTAATGAACATTCTTGTTCACATAAATTTATCACTGCTATATATAAATGATAATACAGTACAATACAATACAAATGGAATACATTTTTAAAAATTTATGTTCATTTGTAAATAAATAAGGTAGGGTAGTGTAAGCTAGAGTCAAGTCTCAAAAATGTATTTTTTTATTATGTTAGTATAACTCTTGCTTGGTTATTCACAATGTTCTACGTATTTTTCAAAATATATTTTATATTTGACAATTGAATGCTAGTCATTGATATGAAAATATTCAGTATTCGATAGCTTCGAAAAATTTTTTTTACTATCTCATAAGAATGGTTTTTGGCGCATGTATTCAGACAACGTCTTCATGGTCTATCAGGAAATTGTGCGGAACGGAAACATGTGCACGTGACTTGCATTTGGTTTTCGTACACAATTTTTAGCTTTTTCTGTCTCTGCGCCACTTTTACCCTATTTAAAATTTGCTTTTTATTCCATATTGTTTTTTTATCGACATAATTGCTGTAAGTGAAACATTTTAACGAAATGTCAAGCAAATTCTTTCCAATTACGACAGCAAATAAACACCTACCTACGTTCATCCACAAACATACAGATTTAGTTAAAAGGTACGTGAAATATTTGAATTTAGTATGCCAATATAAAAGAAACTTGATATAATAATGGTGTTTTGATTATTAAAGTAGAAATGGAAACGCAAAAATGAACAATGATCTTATTTTGTTTATTTTATTTAATAAATCAACTACGTTCATTAATAAATACAAGCAGATAATTACAAACTACAAAAAAAAAATCATGTGCCGTATGATTGTAAGGACTGCCAAATCAATTTCAATTAAATTTTTTTGTAAACTGTTAGTGTGAGAAAATACCTTAAAATAATACTTTGCGTGTATAATTGCTTAAACTATAAATTTGATGAGTAATGATTAAATGATTAATGATTGCATAAAAGTAACCATTAACTAGATTTTGCGAATAATATTTATTTTTTGTAATCTTCAATTCATATTTAAAACTGCATTCTATCCACTTGGCTATTTGATTTCGTTTTGAACTTTAAACAGGCAGCTCTTTTTTGTTGCCCCTAGTCGTAAGGCTATATTCTTTTAAAAAAATTTTTATATGAACAGAGTGTTACACATAAAGCAAGCAAAAATCAGATACTTGCCATAAACTGTTGTTGATTGAACTTATATTTCTTCATATGTTATATATTTTGTATTTTGTGTTTAATTTGCCTATTAATATTTTTTAGTTTACACGTTTTTCCGAAACTTATTAATTAAATGTCATCGCGTGTAAATAATCATTTAAACTAAAACTAAATTAGAAATGTAATAAAAGAATAAGTATTTGAATCTTAATTCATATAGAACTTACATACATAAGAATAACAATTTGAGCACGTAAAGTATTCTTCACGATATTAATTAATAACAATTAGATTTGGTATATTCATTAATTTCGTATTTAAATCATTAAATATTTATTTAATATAGTATTTATTTCTACGCTTTTTGCATGTACTCACAAAAAACAATTGAATATATACTTAGGCAGTATATATTTGCAAAGGTCATAAATAGCATATAACACATGCCAGACAGATTGTCGCCGCTAAAACTCACTTATTGAGCTTGGCGTCTTTATATTTACATATGTATATACATATAAACATGCATATAATTTGTCATCAATATTACACTACTGAGACTGTACCATGGGCGCGATATAATTAAAGTATAGGTGTTTTATTATTATTTAGTACTTCTTGGTAATTGTGTGTGTTAAAATAGTAGACGGCTCAGTTGATCAAAAACTTCCCAAATTACTTTTGTTTTATTAATGCATATGTATACCTATTCCTGAACACATTTTCTTAATGTATTGTAAATCACATAAAAAAAACCTACAAATACATTATATGTGTGCGTACGATAACGATATCTTCAATGTTTATTATTACACAATCTATATTTTATAAAATATTTAATCATAGCATAAATATATATAAATAATTTTAATTAAAAAATATTATATTTTTATAATAGCATATGAAGTAACTTTATAGGCATTACGTATATATATCTACATATATTTGTATATCAAGATAATGAATTAGTGGTTGAAAAAGTACAGGTATTGAAGATTTGTGCTTAACACATTCAGTATCTTATTTTACATATATACACAAAACAAAAAATACGACGTCATACTGTCTGGCAAAATAACTGGCGACACTATGTCTGCCAGATCACTGCGTTGTTGCCACATTTTCTGGTTTCAGATATATAAAAATTATTATATTTTTGTATCTGATAGTTATTCCTCAAATGAAAATAAATGCTAAATTTATAAATTCATTCAGAAAGCTTTAAGCTAAATCACGAATATGTAAAACATTCTACTCTAATACACTACTGCATGGATCTCACTTTAATTCACATTACAATCTAATCGTGAAACTTGGCAACAGTGACTGAACTGCTTAGTATTTTTTTCAAACCTGTTTTCTGTACAGATACTAACAAATCGACTTGTGTTAAGCACCATCCACATACAATTTTATTTTATTTTAAATTATTAATGGAAACCAAGAAGAATACAATATGTATATAAATAGAATATGTATTTTTAACTAGTGTTAAAGGTTTAAAGTTATACAAATAAACGAATGTATTTGTATGCAAACGTACAACATACGTATCAAATCAAATATGATAATTTTTTAATATTCTAAGGTGCGCAAATTCTTTAGATAATTTAAAAAATTTCTAAAGTTCATTTTATATATTGTGAAATTATTGAAATATTATACGTGTATTTTAATACTGGTTTTGAAGAATGATACTATATATATACTTCACATTCCACTATATGTTTAATTCCTTATTTATTTCATATTCCTAATATATGTGTTCAGCAAATATGTACATACATTGTCACCCACATTTTTTTATACAAATCAAACTAATAAAATAAAATTTTTTTTCAAACATATTTACATGCTATGTGCATTGTTATGCTGAAGTAGATTTATATTCAACAGTTGGATTTCATTTGTATTGGTAGTACAAGTTACGACTACAACCAAAATATAGAGACAGAATGTCTGGCATTACTTGGTTCATTCCATATTTAAGATATAAATTTAGTCTCAAGCTGAATAACGAACAGAGTGAATGATTCGCGCAATTTCAGAAATAGAATATATACATATGTATATATATATATATATGTATGTATTATAAATAATACAGTTTTATTCACAACTTTTTAATCACAGTATATTTTTGTTATATAGTCATTTACAAGTTAACAAGGAAACGTCGAAAGTATACCCGGTGTTTGATATTTTGTAATTTGCATGTATGCAAATAATAAAGTTCGACCAAAAAGTAACGACAATTTCTTTAAAATTTAAACGCTTAAATTACTTTGTGAAAAGCAATGAAAAGTAATGTATATTCAGCGTAATATTTTGCGGAAAGCAAAACTCTCTAAAAAAGTTATTTTTTCTGCCAACATTTCTTAAACATATGGGAAATATTTATTTCAAAGCAATTTTTATAAATTTACTAAAAGTAAAGCGACAATTATTTTATGTAAACATGAAAATCAATTCAAATGTAACTAATAATTCTACTCTAAAAATGGGATCACGTCGAATTTTCACTCCACAGTTTAAACTTCAAGTGCTGGAGTCATATCGTAATGATATTGATTGTAAAGGAAATCAGCGAGCTACAGCAAGAAAATATAATATACATCGAAGACAAATTCAAAAATGGTTACAATGTGAGTCCATTTTAAGATCTTCTGTTGCTAACACAGCTCAAGTTTCTATAAAGCAATCATTTAATAACAAGAATCAAATTAACATGGGTTCTACATCTGCATCATTTTGTCCTAGTTTTGTTGATGACAAACAATTTACAGCGCGATCTACTCTTAATGAAAACGAGGTATCAAATATTTATACAAATGCATCAAATGTGCCAATAATAAACACAAACGAAATATTGAGGAATAAATCAGTTCGAGATAATTCAGTAAAAAAAAGTAATTTGTTGTTGAATTCACAATCTTTAAGTTCTAGATCAAATGTTTCTTTAATACGACCCATTGCAATGGGAATACCAACACGAAATAATTCGTTGTTATCAATTGATTTACATTGCACCCAGCCAGATCATCGATACATGTTGCCATATACTCTACCTACATTGCATTGCCAGCAAAAATATACCAGTTTGCCGCCACATGATCAATCTGTCATGTATGCAACAATACATAACAAAATATTAGAAAATCAATCAATAGAAAATATGTCGATTAAAACAATAACTAATGAAAAATCTGAATTGAGGCACACACAAGAATGTACAGGTACTAAACTGTTTGCGGAAAAACATCAAAATGCGTGTAGTAAAAATTTGTACAACTTCAATGGAAATTTATGTACATTTGAAAATAAACAGCAATATTTTGAAATCACTAATGATTCTTCAATTATAACAACAACACCAATAGACTTATCTCTTGGAATACGAAATAAAAACAATGAAAGTAATCAAATAATTTCCAAAAATTGTTATAACTATTTAGATCAAAAACAATTAACTTTATATTGTTCTGAAAACTTAACTAAAAATAATTCGAATACACATAAAACATTTAATGAACAACAACATAACTTTATAAATGAAGTAGTTTCTAATGACCAAAAGCAAAAACCAGAAGAATTATATAACAAGACAACGACGGTATTTTCGAGATCTATTAAGCAAACAAAAGAAAATTTTGAAAATTCATTTAAAAGCGAGAAGAAAGTTGATGTTACAAGCAATAGAATTATATCTAAGCCAGTGAAATTATTTAAACCATATTTATTGGAGGATGAAAATACAAATGGGAATGAAAAGACATTGAGAGTAGATAATTCAGAAAGAAATGATAATCAAGAGACAATAATTTGGAATAAGCTTCCTAATAACACATCTTTGCGACTAAATAATTGTGATAAATATCAAAGGGAAGATGAAACAAACTTTAGCTGTTTTAATAAAAATTCCCTTCAATTAGAAAAGGAGATTTTATTTAAAAAAAGGTCAACAGGTTTTCAAAGTGAGTTTTGCTCATCTTTATCAACGGGATTATACCCAAATTTATGCCAATATCCCAAAGAATTTTTTGGATCAGGATATGAAAGTTGCTCATCTACTTACAGCGATTCATCATGCCGAAGTGAATCATGTCTTCTTTCAAACGATAGAACCTACAGTATTGATATTGAAATGCAAACATTTTATGATAACGTTAGATCTAATCAAATACATTTGCAAGATTGGCTAAACCAGGGTAGTAATATAAATGCTTCGACAACACCTAACACTTCCATAGCGTTATATGCATAAAATTAATATTCGTGTTACTTTTTTTTTATAATATTCGTGTTACTTTTTTTTATACTACATTACTAAGAAATTATTTTATATTGGTATACATAAATTTCTAAAATTTATTGTTTATGAAAAGTTTATGCACACTATATAAATTTATATATATGTATAAGTATGTATATGAGTAAGTTTTGAAAGTTTTAATGTTAATATATAAGGAAAAGCTTTAATAATCCTGAAAAAACTCTGAATCGATAAATGCTTTTATATTGTAATTTGTATGAAAATATTTTTGTGATAAACAATTATCCCACGTATATGTTAATTTCTAAAAATATGGTATCTCTGTTACAACTAAGCTAGCAAAATATTATAAATATATTTTTGTATGAAAGCAATTTTAAATAATCCAACACTTTATACACTAAAAAAATTGATTAATATGTTGTTTCATTTTTTTAAACTTTACAAAGTTATATATAAAATGGTTGTTATATTGATATTGTACGATATTGCTGTAATAAAATTGTGTTTAGGTTGTTTTTATTTACTTGATGCTGCACTAATATTAATTGAACTGCAAACAGAAAATGTGTTGGTCAGATAGCGGCATTTGTGTGCTTAGAAATAAATCTATTAAATATACATAGGTAATGGCATATTCCCTAATGGCCGATTTTTCAAAGTTTGCTTAAATTTAATACAAGTATGCTATCCGAAACTTGAAATAACCGCCTACTATTTTGGGATTGTTCTTAAAAAAAGTCGTAAGTTTAGCTAAACGAATGCTTAAACTAATATTGAAAAATTGGCCCTTAATGGAATAAATGAGAGGTTTTTGAGACGTTAACAGTTTTTAACAGGTTATTTTGTAGGGAACTTTTTGATACATCAATATTCAAATACATTAAAATTTACGTAGCAAATAAGCTGTTCAAAGAGCAGTTAGTTTAGAAAAAAAATTATGACTAGGATAATTATTTAGAATAAGCTTCCTAATACCTTCCAATAATTATTATATACATATAGAAAATGGAGCATGAAACAAGCTTTATTTATGAATTATTTAAGCATGTTACGTAAGCTACGAAATATTTCCTTGCGGCTTACATGTTAAATATTACGACTAAATTTATAATAAAATATAATTTACAATACCATGACATCTAAAATTCTGCATGCAAATACATTTTCCTAAAATTATTTTAATGTATTAATTTTTAGAACTAAGGTATAGTTGTGAGAACAGAACTGAATGCTGTGGGGCAGTTGAATACAACGATAGAAATGTAAGAACGCTGGAACCGAGTCAAAAAAAATTCTTTCCAAACTTGAGTCTCTATGATAGTTTTTCAAAGCTTAAGCGTAAAAAATCTCTAAATATGGTTGACCACACCTCAACTTAAATTGACAAACTTCTGAAAACGAAATTGTCGAAAACAGAGAATTTCATATAGTAATAAAAGAGTTAACTCATAAACAGTACAGAATGCATAATTTCAAAAAATTTTTATGGTTATAAAAAACGTTTATGGTTATAAATAGGGTACATCAAAACATATTAAAATTTCAGTATGTCAAGTATGGTTGATTGGTTAATTGGTTGGTTGCAGTGGCAGTGACAGGCCATTTGATAACAAGTAAGCAATTGAGCAAGTAAATCAACAAAACAGCGATTGGTGTCAGATAATATTTGATTATATTTAATTTATATTTTGGCATACAATGCCACCAAGTGACCATACCAAACACACTAAATTCTTACAAAAATGCGCGGTCTTTTATATGCATTCGCCTGAACCTGTTGCGTTAAGTACACAAAGCTTTGAACTGATCATAATTTAACTTGATGCAATTTAGAACTTTTGCACAAAAGCTCTCTTGTACATGTTTTGCATCGAATTGAATTCTGACATTTCTTTGACATTTGTAAATGTTTGTTCATGTTATACAAAGCACCGCGCTAGTGTTTTTTTTATCGTTGAAATATTTATAAATATAATAATAAATAATTTATAAATAAATATAAATAAATTTACGGGGATAAATAAAGAAGGTATGTATTTATTATTTTATTAAAATATATTTCTCTCTAAAATATATTTCAACTGCATGTTGCAGTTGCATGCAGGCTGGGTGGTTTTTCGGTAAGTTGTTTCTAATAACTATGTTAAATGTTTATTCATATATTTCAATTTCAGATTAAATATGGACTTACTAAATTTATGTACGTTGGAAATTATTATAAAATTTCCTTCCTTACAGACTAAATCTATCCGACGAATTTAGGTAATTTAATATGTGTCCTATCTTCACCGATATTAATAAATCTTCACCGATAATAGTCTAAAATTATTATAAAATTTCCTTCCTTACAGACTAAATCTATTCCGACGAATTTAGGTAATTTAATATGTGTCCTATCTTCACCGATATTAATAAATCTTCACCGATAATAGTCTAATAAACTGTCAGAGAAGTATTTTTCTAAAAACCTATTTTCTTTTGGATGCCAAAGCAGGGTATTCACAGAGAAAGAATGTTATGATTTTTTTTTTCCTGTAGTTTTCCACAAATTCTGCAGTGATGATTATGAGGAATACGCAGTTTCTCTGCATGGGTTCTTATACATCAATTACCAGAGAGAACTGTAGTGAGCTTTGCAGTGTTCATGCAGTCTCTTTTGATGAGTTCCAAGGATCTTATTTTATTTTAGGTGGACCATCTTAACCTGGAAATTGCACATGACTTAAGTGTTTTCCATCTATTATTGTCAAGTTAAAAAAAAATAGAAATACGTATACCTCTTAATGGTCTCTATGATAATATACAACGGTACCGCCAGGAAAGCCCCAGAGCGGGCCGAAGTGTCAGCCATCTCGTTCCCTTCGATGTTTCTGTGCCCAGGAACCCAGATGCAGGTAATGTCAGCCAACCGATTTAGCTCTTCGATTGCCTCTCTACATTCTTTTACTGTCTTCGATTTTGTGGTATAGGATTCAAGGACTTTAATTGCTGCCTGTCTGTCAATGAAAGTTGCCACACTACATCTGTCCTTGATGTGATTTGCAATTTGCGGACAAACTTCTCCAATTTCTAAGATTTCTGCCTAAAAAACCGATGACGCGAACATCCCTCTTTCTACTCCGTAGTTCATATTCGAGCCATCCGTATAGATTCAGATATCGTAATTTGGGTAATAACTTTTTTTTCCGATTTATTTTTTGAAGGGAATATTGTTTGAAAATTTTTTTCAAAGTCTAGACACGGATTTAGATAATTTGAATCATCCCATACAAAACAGTTTAGAACTGTACCTAGAATCCGACTATGCTTATATATTCATTTCTACCAGTCGCCTGTATAGCATCGATAGTATAACATCGTTGTTGCAAATATTTGATGTAAAAATCAATAGGTAGTAGGTGTAGCATCACGTTTAAGACGTCCGAAAGGGTCGTCCTAATAGTTCCTGTGACGCCTGCCATCCTCTAAACTTTGTTGAGTTTATAAATATCACAGCTCTTAATCAAAGCTGGCCACCAAACGACAGCGGCATATGTGAGAATTGAACGGATGACCGTATACATAACCCCTCCTTGTGACGTGTCTCTGATGACGTATTTGATTTGAGTTGTGCTGCCTAACTGTGAATGAATGGTGTTTGTTTTTATCATAGTAACTATCTAATTTTTGATCTCTTCCTCTAAACCTATTCTGGAAAGTAAAGTCATGAATATCTTTATTGGAGCCATTTTAATAATGGCTCCCTCAACATCTAAAAAACTTGTCAACGAGTATTGTTTGAAATTAAATTGTTTTTCCACAGTCCGAATAACCTCATGTAGAGCTGTTCAGTAGATCTACCCTTGAGGTAAGCGTACTGGGATTTGAAATTGGAAAACGTTCCATTGTTTTAACTAAAAATGAAGTTAGACTAATCTGTCTGTAGTCTTTGGCGGACTTGTGACCGATTTTACCTACCTTGGGAATTAAGACTTAAGACCTTTACTGACCTCCAACTAAATGATGTAACGACACGTTCCTTATGGTCGTTGCAAATTGCTGGGATATCCTTAGCTTTACCAGAGCCGTCACAAAAAATTTGTGATTGTGACCAAAATATTCAAAGACATTACTTGATTTTTTTTATGTTTATAGTTCATATTAAAAAAAAATTATATAATTCAAAAATAATTATAAAATATTTGGATATAATGTCAATTCAGTATGAAATAATCGATTTGGAGTTAAATAATCGTTTTATGTGTGCTTGTGGTAAACCTGGTACTGATTGTGTTCTCTCCTGGCCTGTTTATCTCACATATAGTAGGTGTACGACAACCGATCGCGTTGAGATAAATTTTTTCCTTATGTCGAAATATTTGTTATGCCTTCGGTTAAATATTTCCTTATATGGAAATATTCTTTTATATTTTATTTTGAGTATATCAATAGGCATCCTTATAAGGAAATATTCTTTTAGTTTTATTCGAAATTATATCGGTTACAGTATATACTACAGCCGATCGCAACGATATAATTTTATAATATTTATTTATTTATTTATTATAATTAATTACAAAATATAAAATCTTATAACTAAGATCAGAAAAACGAGCGCTAGCTGCCAGGGCCTTAAGCTCGGATATTATACATTAAATTTTATTTACTAGATTACAGGCTTTAATATATTTACACATCAAAAGTATATTTTTAACATTAATTGTTTTTAAAACGCTGGTTGGTGAGATATTGGGAAAGATATTACTACGAATAGAATTAAAAGAAGGGCAATCGTTAAGTATATGATCTATGGATGGTGTGCTATTACAAAATAGACAGTTTGATGGTTGATCGCCACTCAAAAGATGTTTATGAAAAAACTTTGAATGTCCCATACGCTATTGATCGATTTGATTGATGGTATTGATCGACTTGTAGCGATGGTTGTACACTGACCATTCCATAGCCCATTCGTCTTCCATATGTTTGTTTATAAAATTTAAAACGCCTTTTCTTTCGGATGTCTTGAATTAGAATAAGTGAGAGCGAATAGCGGCAGAGGCAGCTTGATCTGCTAGTTCGTTTCCTTTAATTCCTGCGCGCCCAGGAACCCACATAATTTTAATTTTGTTTGAAAAACGTATGCAGTTGTTTCTGATAGCACAAATAAGGTCGGTGTTATTATTGATATTTTTTACAGCTTCAATTTGCCTTTGTTGCATGTTGCGTGGTCAGTAGCAAGTTTTATAGCCAGAGCCTCTGCAGTAAAGATGGAACAATGGGGTGCAACTAATCCAGTCGTGATTACGGAGCCATTTTGTTGTATTTTAGCAAATGTGACATGATTTTCAGTTTTTGAACCATCTGTGTACAATAGAGTCCAATTGTTTTTTATATAGAAATCAGAAAATTTTGCAAACAGTTGTCTAAACATTTTGGTGGTTGTGTTACTTTTTCCATAGGTTTGCAGGTCGATTACAAAAGATGTTGGATTAAGAAACCAAGGGGGCTCATGATTTTGTATCATACGATGAGGTTTAATGTCGAGGTCGATCAATTTAGCATATTCAATACACCGCACAATTGTCGACTTAACTCTATTTGTTGGCTTTCGATGGAATACATTTACAACGTCTTTATATAAAATAGCGTTGTTGCTGCACAGTAGTTTAGGAACAAGTTTATAAGTTGTTGACTTAACTCGATTTGATATTGTAGGTAGCCCAGCTTCTGTCAATAAGTTTTTGATTGGAGTTGTGGGGAACGCAGCAATACTCCTTCGAACGGCAGCATGATAGGGTGTCTAATATTGCTGTTTGCACACCATCCAAAGAGTGGTAGAGCGTAATTTAATTTAGAGAGTATAAGTGATTTAGTGATATTAATCAAAGTTGATACATGAATAAAAAAATGTTTAGATGAAAGGTATTTAATAATGTTTAACCTGGCAGCTAGGTTTTTTCTTAATTCTAGATATTGTTGCTTAAAGTTAAGTTTGTTGTCAAACACTATACCTAATATTTTTAAATAATTAACAACTTCGATATTTACGGCATTGTACCTTAAGTTTAGTTGGTTACAATTCTTTTTTTTACAAATGTGCAAAATTTTACATTTATTTAAAGCAAGATTAGCACCAGAAAACTTACTCCAATCTTTTATGTCATTTAATATCTCAGTGAAAATTACTTGAACTATAGATATATGTATCCTTAACTTTGGAGAATATTATTGCATCATCAGCGCAAATAGCATGTTCAACTCTATTGTATTTCAATATTATTTTACTTAATGGATCAAAAGCTATTATAAATAAAATTACTGATAATGGAGATCCTTGTGGAATCCCATTATACAGAGCAAAGATATCGGAGCAAGTTGAATTAATCCTAACACAAAATTTGCGATTAGTCAAAAAGGCTTTAACAAAATTAAAGATCCTTTTACCAACTTTCCAAATAGCAAGCTGCTGAAGCACAACGTGTACTCCGATGCAATCAAATGCTTTTTCAAAATCAGTAGCTAAGATGGTTACATGATTTTTACTGGAAAGAGCAGAAGACGCATAGTGCTGGAGATGTAAAAGGACATCAATTGTGCTTTGCTTCTTCCTAAAAGCGACTTCTAGAAAAAATCATTGCTAATAGAATTTTGTGGTATTTAACTAAAAACAACCTAATTAGTCCTAAATTAGGTTGTTTTTAGTTAAATACCACAAAATTCTATTAGCAATGATTTTTTCTAGAATTTTACCCATACACAGCAGAAGTGAAATTGGGCGATAGTTACTAGTTTCAGAGCTTAATGTTTTAGATTTAGGTATGAGAATAACTTCAGCAGTATGCCAACTTTGTGGATAAATACCTTTCTCCAAAATGTTATTGTATAATTTGATTAATCTATTTATTAGGATTGTTGGAAGATTAAGTAACATGGGGTATGATATACGATCGCAACCCGGGGTTTTTCCCTTAACCTTGCAAATGACGCTACTAAATTCAACTATTGTAATATCAATCTCGATTTTCTTAGCCGCGGCAGATAATGATGTACGGCTATAATCATACTGAAAGAAAAAACTTTTATTAGTTATAAATTGTTGAGAAAAGTGACAATCTTTGGAGAAATTAGACCAGGTTGTACCAAAAGAATTTGCAATATCTTTACTTAACGTCAGGAGATTTGAGCCGGTATTAATGGAGCTTATTATAGGGTTATTGTATCTGCCTGTTAGCCTATTTATGTCAGCCCAAATCTTTTTTGTACTTGAATTTGGGTTTATTTTGGATGTCAACTTTTCCAAGCTTTCAGATTTTGCGGCTTTGACTTGCCTTCTAAATAGGCCTTTTTATACAAAACTAAATTAGAATAGGACCTAAATCTTTTAAAATTTAGCCAATAAAATTGTTTTTCGTTTCTAAATTGATTTAAATTGGAATTCCACCATGGTATTTTGGATTTAACATATGATGGCTTTGTCTGTGGGATCGCAATATTTGCTGCGGATCTAATAATTTTAGCCAAATTGGCTGCTTCTTTACTATTTTCGTCTGCTATATTAAATTTGTTATTGTTTTGTTTACAAACTTGTTGGAATTTGTCCCAATCCGCAAAATCGGTTTTGAACTTTAGTCTTGGCTTAAATTTATCATATTGGAGATTTGATAGTAAGCTAATTACAAAAGGGAAATGATCACTGCCGTGCAGATTTTGAAGTATGTTCCAGGCACATTTAGGTGTGAGGGCGGCTGAACACATTGTAAGATCTATGTGAGAAAATGAGTTGCGAGTAGAAAAATGTGTGGGAGACCCATCGTTTAAAATAAAGAGGTTTTCGCTTAAAATTACATCTTCAATAATTTTATCCCTGCTGTTACATACATTGGAACCCCATAAAGGACTCCAGGCATTAAAATCTCCTGTAGCAATAAAAGGAGTATTAATATTATTAAAAGAATTTCTAATGTCAAATGCTGAGATTAATTGTTGAGGCGGAATATATAAATTAATAATGTTACAATCAAAACCTGCATTAATTGTAATGGCCATTGAACAAATATTTGAGTTGTTGTATATATGTTTATGTGGAATATGTTTTTTTATTAAAATTCCTATGCCTTGTTTGGCTGTAGTATTTATGGGAAGGTTGTGAAAATATCCCACAAAATTTTTAGGTGTTATTATATTATTTCTGTTGAAAGCTATATGAGTTTCTTGTAGAACAATAATATCCGGGTTTATATGTTTGATTAAAAGTTTTAGTTCAAGATAATTATTTATATAGCCTTTAATATTCCACTGAAGTATTTTTAACGACATAAAAAAGTGAAATAAAAAGAAAATAATCTATGTAAAAAAAAAATAAAATAAAATTTGTGCAAAAAAAAAATAAAACTATAGCGAATAAACATTGTTTTTTATGCTTCTAATTTTGATATTGTAATTTACATTTGTCGAGTTTTTTTTGCACTTCATCATCGCTTAAAACTACATCACTATCTGAGAGACGTGTTCTAGTAAGAGAATCTTGACTAGTAGAGAGCTTTTTTCTAAATTTAGGGATAGTTCCAATTATTGATTTTATTGTAGAAATATTTGATTTACGATCGTGTGTTAAAGAATTACTTTCTTCTAAGACTGCAGGTTTATGAGTACCAATAGTTGAACGAGAGACCGGTTCCAAATTTTGTTTTTTTTCTTCATCGTTGTTTGTATTAATAATGCTTGTACTGGAAGAATTGATGGAAGATGGTGTGCTTGTAGAACGTAAGCTCGAAGAAGAGAAAGAGTTAATATTTTTGTTATTGTTATTTATTATGTCTCTTGATTGCACTTTCGAAATTGATGCTTTAACTGGAAAGCTTGTAGAGATTGTTGTTGTAATTGTATTATTTGAAACATTATTAGATTGCGGTGTTTTATTTATGCCAGATGAAACCACAGAAGAGAAACTGTTGCTGGAGATATCGACTGAAGGTAGTGCTTTATATAGTTGTTTTGCTTCCCGCATTGTACATTTATTTTTTGTTTTAATTTTTAATATCTCTTTTTGCTGAAAAAATTTAGTACACTCTTTAGAAGAGGCTGGGTGCTGTTCTGATCAATTAACACAATATGTACGGGAACAGTCAAACGTGGCGTGAGGAGGCAAACCGCAATTTACACAAGCTGAAGCGTTTCGGCATCTGTATGAAAAGGTTCTTGGCAGTATGACCAAGAACCTGGCACGATTTGCAACGCATTAGGTTTGGTACATACTCCCGCACATCAACGGAACGCCAAGAGATTTCAATTTTTTTGGGCAAATTAAATGTGTTAAAAGATAGCAAAACAACTCCGCTGGGATGGGACTGGCCTTCGATCATTTTAGGGAACTTGTAGCATTCAACTACGCCCTGTGAACTCAGCTCATTAACTATTTCTTCTTCTGAGATTTTATTTAAATACGGTGCATATACAGTTCCTTTTGTTGTGTTCAATTGCTTATGAAGAAAACATTTGATTGGGCAAATAGTTAATAAATCTTTAGCTGATATAAACTTTTGTGCAGTAGCCATGTCTTTGACTAATAACAACAGGTTACCATCTCTTAGTTCAGAAATCGATATAATTTCTTTACTTATAACGTATAGAGCTTTTTGCACCGCAAAACAAGAGAACTCAGTTAAAGGTCTTAGATCGTTGGCAGAGGCAACAACAACATATTTTGGATTAGGCAGTTGAATTTTTGGAAGTCCGGGAAAGTCTGTAACTGTTTTAACATTCGGTCGTTTTTTCTTCGATTGGGGACCATCTGCCAAGAGTGCAAATCTATTTCCCCTTATGAGGGGAGGCCCAGGGACCATATTTTTAAAACACAAAAATTTAACTGCGTTTTATTTATGCAACTACCGATTTAATACAAATAAATAATAAAACGTGGAACAAAAAAAAAACAGCCTTAAGTATAAAAAGCTTAGGCGCGAGTAGAAAGAAAAAATAAATAAATAAGAAATAATTCGAACACAAAAAAACACGTCTGATCACTATAAATATAAGTTAAAGAATGAAATTTTATAATATAAATTATTCCTACGTTTGAATATATCCTTACATGGAAATATTCCTTTGTGTCTTATTTAAAAATTATTTTACTTGCAATAGGCGTACTACAGCCAATTGCAATGATATACATAGCAATTCTGAATACTCCCAGGGAACAAGTCTCTCTATTCCCACGCTATTCCCAAGAACACAACTCCCTCATTCTAAATTGCTTGGGAGACAGCAGTTTTGGGAACAACAAAAGTTTTAAATTTGTTTTGTTAAATTTTGGCAATCATGGCACTTTTTATTGACGAAAAGTACGAAAATGAGTAAAACAAAGAAAAGAATTCAATATCATATGTTGAGTTAAATGTAAAAATTGCATTATTTGTCTGCTGCACAAATTATCAGAAATAAATATAATAAATATTCTATAAGTAAATAATAGAAAATTTTTATTTTATTTATTTATTTTATTTATTTATTGTATTATTTACATATGTATATAATTTATTATTTTCTTATATACAATAAAACAAAGTAAAATATCTTTTTTTTTAATTGAAATTATTAATGCTTTAACTAAAATTTGAGTTCCTCTCCAAAACATTTATTTATTTTTAAAATTAGTATAGAAATGTCTTTTAATTAATAAACTGTAATAATACCAATGAAGCAATGTTTTACCTGCACGTAATTGCAAAAGTTTATATTAACTTATTTAAGGAATCTCATTCATTTCAGAATTTGGGTTTCTTTCATTATCTATTGTTTTAAATAACAATAGTTAATGCTTTAATTTGTGAAAAAAACCCTAGTGAATAAAATAAATAATAATTTAAATAATTTAATTATATTACATTTGTATTAATACTTTTATTAAAATACACAAGTGAAGGTTGACCAAGAATCAGCAAGGATACTTACACTAAACACACATCGCGGACTTTTTGAAGTTACAAGATTACCGTTTAGAATTTCAACAGCACCAGATATTTTTCAACGTGTAATGGAGGGAATTCCTAAGAACATAGATGGTGTGATTATTTATTTAGACGACATTCTAATTGGCGAAACAACTTTGGAAGAGTTGTGGAATAGAACACAAACTGCTCTGAAATGTGTACAGGATGCAGGATTGAAGCTTAAAAAATCAAAATGTGTTTTCGCAGTACAAGAGATAACATTTTTGGGGTTTAAGATAAGCCGAGAAGGAGTGCGTCCAACTGACAAAAAGGTGAAGGCAATAGCTCAAGCACCAGAACCAATAAATAAACAACAGCTACAAGCTTTTCTTGGGTTAATTACATTTTATGATAGATTTTTACAGAATAAAGGCGATTTATTGGAACCGCTGTATCAACTATTAAGAAAAGAGATACCTTTTAAATGGGGTAGAGAACAGAAACTAAGTTTTGAACGAGCAAAGAAACTACTACAATCAAAAAATCTGTTGGTGCATTATCGGCTGACTTACCACTGATATTATGCGGAGACGCATCACCGTATGGAGTTGGCGTGGTTTTGGCACACAAGATGCCGGATGATAGTGAAGCACCGATTGCTTTTGGCTCCAGAACATTACAGGGCGCGGAACGAAATTATTCACAGTTGGATAAAGAAGCGCTAGCGATTATGTTTGGTGTGCAAAAGTTTCATCAATTTTTAAGTGGTAGACAATTTACAATAATGACTGATCATAAACCACTAGTGGGGTTATTCAACCCAGAAAAACCAATATCACAGCATATATCACCCAGAATGTTAAGGTGGTCGTTAAAGTTAGGCGCTTACCAGTACGAGATTAAATTCCGAGAAGGGAAACATCACCAGAATGCAGATGCATTGAGCCGGTTACCTTTAAATGATGTAAAGCTACAAATACCGGAAATACCTGAAATATTATATTGCAATGAGGCTGAGGAACAGTTTTTAATCACTGCGAAAGACATTGCACAAGCAACCAGAAGAGATCCAGTACTATCAAAAGTAATGTGGCATATCCAAAGGAAAGATACAGTTTTGCCATATAAATTAATCCAGTTTAAACCGTTTGTGAATAAAATCCAGGAACTATCAGTGAATGCACAATGTTTGTTATGGGGAGCCAGGGTAATAATACCAGCAATGCTACGTCCCAGAATACTTGAGATGTTGCACGAAGGCATGTCGGCAATGAAAGCAGTTGCGCGAAGCTATTTTTGGTGGCCTGGTTTAGATGAAAATATAGAAATGTTAGTCAGACGTTGTGAAAAGTGTGCATGTAACAAAAAGAATCCTTCAGTAGCGGCAGGTAAACCATGGCCAGCAACGCTAAGGCCATGGTCCCGGTTACATATTGATTATGCGGGACCCTTTATGGGTACAAATTTTTTTATCGTCGTAGATGCTCATAGCAAGTGGGTAGAGGTAAAAATAACCAGTACAATAAATGCGATTAGAACAATCGAGTTAATGAGAGAAATATTTGCAACACACGGAATACCAGATACCATTGTGTCCGATAATGGGCGAACGTTTGTGTCAGAAGAATTTGAGAAATATTTAAAACTTAGCGGTATAAAGCACATACATATGGCACCGTATAATCCATCGTCAAACGGGCAAGCAGAAAGGTTTGTACAAACCATTAAGAATCACCTTAAGAAAATGCAGTCTTCAGACATCAATAAGAATTTGGCAAATATACTTTTGCATCTGCGTACAACTCCTAATGCAAATTCAAATTCGAGTCCAGCAGAAATCTTGATGGGAAGGAAGTTGAAAACATTGTTAGATCATTTGCACCCCAGTGATGACAACACTCAGAAGCAGCTAAATTCTGATGAGTATTCCAAACAAATAAAACCAGTTCGCAGTTTCCAGTGTGGTGAAAGTGTTTGGTACCGAAATTTTGGAAGAGGTGAAAAGTGGATGCCAGGGATTATACAATCAACAGGAGATCGCAACTACAAAATTCAATCAAATAGTAACATATTGTCGAGACATATTGACCAGTTGCATAAGCGAGTTTCGGAGACACCGACAAGTTTAGAATCCAATATAACTCCAGTAGCAGTAACTTCAGTGGCACAACCGGAAGAGCAAGACGACCAAGTAAGTGCAGGTCATTCATCAAATGAATATATCCTACCAGATAGTCAAGTAGAGGGGTCATTAGAAGAAGAAGATAAAAGAGATGAAACATTAAAATCGCGACCGTACCGGCAGAGGCAACCGCCAAAAAGGTTACGGGACTATTTGATGGGGGAGGAACTGTAGTATATTCGCTCACGGCAACCCTGTATAAAGAAATAGAAAAAGAAGGAAAAAATACAAAATGCGTTGTTGTCGTCGTTGTGCTAAACGGAGTAAGCGTGCCGTGGCGTAATCATTATTATTATTAATATTAACTTGTAAATTATGATATAACTTTAATCAATAAAGTATATGTTATTATATATGAGAATATAATAATAATAATTTTATTAAAATTCATATATAATTTTATTAAAATAAAATAAATTTTATTAAAAAAACTAATCAACACTTGTGGATAAAATAAATAAATAAAACAAAATATTAAATTTATTATAATAATTTTATTATAATAATAATTTTATTAAAATGTATTCAAAAATCTGATCATTTTCAGTTCCTTTCATATTAAATTAAACTATTTTTAATACTTTTTTAATTTGTCTCCCAAACAATTTGCTTGGAAAAGAATTTGTGCAAAATTGGGAAAAAACTGCCATTCCCATGCAATTCAGAATAGCAAAATTGGAAACAGGGAACAAAACTCCCATCCCCAAATTAATCAGAATAACAAACTTGGGAATAGGGAACAAACTTGGGAATAGGAACTTGGGAACAAACTTGGCAAACTCCCATTTCCATGCGATGCAGAATAGGGCTGAATAATAATTTTATTAAAATATATTCAAAAATCTGATCATTATAAGTCACTTTTATATTGAATTAAACTATTTTTAATGCTTTTTTAACTTTTCTATCAAACAATTTGCTTCTGAAAGAATTTGTGCAAAATTGGGAAAAAACTTCCATTCACATACGACTCAGAATAGCAATATTGGGAATAGGGAACGAAAATCCCATTCCCATATTATTCAGAATAGCAAAATTAGGAAAAGGAAAAAACTCCCATTCCCATGCGATTCAGAATAGGTACAATAGTTTTAAATGTAATTTATTCCTTCGTTTGAATATATCCTTACATGGAAATATTCCTTTGTGTCTTATTTAAAAATTATTTTACTTGCAATAGGCGTACTACAGCCAATTGCAATGATATACATAGCAATTCTGAATACTCCCAGGGAACAAGTCTCTCTATTCCCACGCTATTCCCAAGAACACAACTCCCTCATTCTAAATTGCTTGGGAGACAGCAGTTCTGGGAACAACAAAAGTTTTAAATTTGTTTTGTTAAATTTTGGCAATCATGGCACTTTTTATTGACGAAAAGTACGAAAATGAGTAAAACAAAGAAAAGAATTCAATATCATACGTTGAGTTAAATGTAAAAATTGCATTATTTGTCTGCTGCACAAATTATCAGAAATAAATATAATAAATATTCTATAAGTAAATAATAGAAAATTTTTATTTTATTTATTTATTTTATTTATTTATTGTATTATTTACATATGTATATAATTTATTATTTTCTTATATACAATAAAACAAAGTAAAATATCTTTTTTATTAATTGAAATTATTAATGCTTTAACTAAAATTTGAGTTCCTCTCCAAAACATTTATTTATTTTTAAAATTAGTATAGAAATGTCTTTTAATTAATAAACTGTAATAATACCAATGAAGCAATGTTTTACCTGCACGTAATTGCAAAAGTTTATATTAACTTATTTAAGGAATCTCATTCATTTCAGAATTTGGGTTTCTTTCATTATCTATTGTTTTAAATAACAATAGTTAATGCTTTAATTTGTGAAAAAAACCCTAGTGAATAAAATAAATAATAATTTAAATAATTTAATTATATTACATTTGTATTAATACTTTTATTAAAATACACAAGTGAAGGTTGACCAAGAATCAGCAAGGATACTTACACTAAACACACATCGCGGACTTTTTGAAGTTACAAGATTACCGTTTAGAATTTCAACAGCACCAGATATTTTTCAACGTGTAATGGAGGGAATTCCTAAGAACATAGATGGTGTGATTATTTATTTAGACGACATTCTAATTGGCGAAACAACTTTGGAAGAGTTGTGGAATAGAACACAAACTGCTCTGAAATGTGTACAGGATGCAGGATTGAAGCTTAAAAAATCAAAATGTGTTTTCGCAGTACAAGAGATAACATTTTTGGGGTTTAAGATAAGCCGAGAAGGAGTGCGTCCAACTGACAAAAAGGTGAAGGCAATAGCTCAAGCACCAGAACCAATAAATAAACAACAGCTACAAGCTTTTCTTGGGTTAATTACATTTTATGATAGATTTTTACAGAATAAAGGCGATTTATTGGAACCGCTGTATCAACTATTAAGAAAAGAGATACCTTTTAAATGGGGTAGAGAACAGAAACTAAGTTTTGAACGAGCAAAGAAACTACTACAATCAAAAAATCTGTTGGTGCATTATCGGCTGACTTACCACTGATATTATGCGGAGACGCATCACCGTATGGAGTTGGCGTGGTTTTGGCACACAAGATGCCGGATGATAGTGAAGCACCGATTGCTTTTGGCTCCAGAACATTACAGGGCGCGGAACGAAATTATTCACAGTTGGATAAAGAAGCGCTAGCGATTATGTTTGGTGTGCAAAAGTTTCATCAATTTTTAAGTGGTAGACAATTTACAATAATGACTGATCATAAACCACTAGTGGGGTTATTCAACCCAGAAAAACCAATATCACAGCATATATCACCCAGAATGTTAAGGTGGTCGTTAAAGTTAGGCGCTTACCAGTACGAGATTAAATTCCGAGAAGGGAAACATCACCAGAATGCAGATGCATTGAGCCGGTTACCTTTAAATGATGTAAAGCTACAAATACCGGAAATACCTGAAATATTATATTGCAATGAGGCTGAGGAACAGTTTTTAATCACTGCGAAAGACATTGCACAAGCAACCAGAAGAGATCCAGTACTATCAAAAGTAATGTGGCATATCCAAAGGAAAGATACAGTTTTGCCATATAAATTAATCCAGTTTAAACCGTTTGTGAATAAAATCCAGGAACTATCAGTGAATGCACAATGTTTGTTATGGGGAGCCAGGGTAATAATACCAGCAATGCTACGTCCCAGAATACTTAAGATGTTGCACGAAGGCATGTCGGCAATGAAAGCAGTTGCGCGAAGCTATTTTTGGTGGCCTGGTTTAGATGAAAATATAGAAATGTTAGCCAGACGTTGTGAAAAGTGTGCATGTAACAAAAAGAATCCTTCAGTAGCGGCAGGTAAACCATGGCCAGCAATGCTAAGGCCATGGTCCCGGTTACATATTGATTATGCGGGACCCTTTATGGGTACAAATTTTTTTATCGTCGTAGATGCTCATAGCAAGTGGGTAGAGGTAAAAATAACCAGTACAATAAATGCGATTAGAACAATCGAGTTAATGAGAGAAATATTTGCAACACACGGAATACCAGATACCATTGTGTCCGATAATGGGCGAACGTTTGTGTCAGAAGAATTTGAGAAATATTTAAAACTTAGCGGTATAAAGCACATACATATGGCACCGTATCATCCATCGTCAAACGGGCAAGCAGAAAGGTTTGTACAAACCATTAAGAATCACCTTAAGAAAATGCAGTCTTCAGACATCAATAAGAATTTGGCAAATATACTTTTGCATCTGCGTACAACTCCTAATGCAAATTCAAATTCGAGTCCAGCAGAAATCTTGATGGGAAGGAAGTTGAAAACATTGTTAGATCATTTGCACCCCAGTGATGACAACACTCAGAAGCAGCTAAATTCTGATGAGTATTCCAAACAAATAAAACCAGTTCGCAGTTTCCAGTGTGGTGAAAGTGTTTGGTACCGAAATTTTGGAAGAGGTGAAAAGTGGATGCCAGGGATTATACAATCAACAGGAGATCGCAACTACAAAATTCAATCAAATAGTAACATATTGTCGAGACATATTGACCAGTTGCATAAGTGAGTTTCGGAGACACCGACAAGTTTAGAATCCAATATAACTCCAGTAGCAGTAACTTCAGTGGCACAACCGGAAGAGCAAGACGACCAAGTAAGTGCAGATCATTCATCAAATGAATATATCCTACCAGATAGTCAAGTAGAGGGGTCATTAGAAGAAGAAGATAAAAGAGATGAAACATTAAAATCGCGACCGTACCGGCAGAGGCAACCGCCAAAAAGGTTACGGGACTATTTGATGGGGGAGGAACTGTAGTATATTCGATCATGGCAACCCTGTATAAAGAAATAGAAAAAGAAGGAAAAAATACAAAATGCGTTGTTGTCGTCGTTGTGCTAAACGGAGTAAGCGTGCCGTGGCGTAATCATTATTATTATTAATATTAACTTGTAAATTATGATATAACTTTAATCAATAAAGTATATGTTATTATATATGAGAATATAATAATAATTTTATTAAAATTCATATATAATTTTATTAAAATAAAATAAATTTTATTAAAAAAACTAATCAACACTTGTGGATAAAATAAATAAATAAAACAAAATATTAAATTTATTATAATAATTTTATTATAATAATAATTTTATTAAAATGTATTCAAAAATCTGATCATTTTCAGTTCCTTTCATATTAAATTAAACTATTTTTAATACTTTTTTAATTTGTCTCCCAAACAATTTGCTTGGAAAAGAATTTGTGCAAAATTGGGAAAAAACTGCCATTCCCATGCAATTCAGAATAGCAAAATTGGAAACAGGGAACAAAACTCCCATCCCCAAATTAATCAGAATAACAAACTTGGGAATAGGGAACAAACTCCCATTTCCATGCGATGCAGAATAGGGCTGAATAATAATTTTATTAAAATATATTCAAAAATCTGATCATTATAAGTCACTTTTATATTGAATTAAACTATTTTTAATGCTTTTTTAACTTTTCTATCAAACAATTTGCTTCTGAAAGAATTTGTGCAAAATTGGGAAAAAACTTCCATTCACATACGACTCAGAATAGCAATATTGGGAATAGGGAACGAAAATCCCATTCCCATATTATTCAGAATAGCAAAATTAGGAAAAGGAAAAAACTCCCATTC